GAAAACGAGCGAACGCCTATCGTGGCCGACCACGAGAGAGTTGACTGTCGGTCGCTTTTACATTTTTTTTTGTCGTATATAATATTACTGAGTCACTATATCCTCAATAATGTAGTGTGTCCGTTTCCTCAACCTTTATCAACTTCCTTACTCCTCTCCTTACTTTTTTTTTGTTAACGCAGGCAAAACCTCTGTTTACAGACGACGGCGCTTTTAAGAGACACACCGCCGAACAGACCTCACACCTGGCTCCCGCACGAGATCCACGGGATCCCCGTTTAGTTTAGGTGGCGGCCGTGACGGCATCATATGCAGGAACGCTAATACTGTTTCTTAGTACTTGAGTTACTGCGAGACATTTTGTCTTTATCGTCAAAAACAAAATCTTAACCACGTACTTACACAAAAAGTCTGCCATAAATATTTGCACTCTTAAGAATGTAGTATTTTTTCCAGTCCAGTCATTATCAACAACATTGAACCAATTTCAGAGCCTTAAACCTGTTGCTATCTCAAATTTCTTTGGTATTTCCGTTTCTCCGTGGCGTATATTGCGTAATATCATTACAACTCGATGATTTTTGTCGATCACTGTGACAAGAACCAGTTCCTGTTGAACTTGACGATTCCAGGTCAGGTGCGTTACTTTTTTTAAATCTGGGACTAAAACAACGATTTTCAAGTTTGATTTTTAATAATTTTTTGACACCGCACCTTTTTTTTTTAATATATGTCGCTACCTATACAATGTGTTGCATCTGAATTTATTGACAGGACTTTAGTTACTTCTTCCGTTGACGACGACGACTTCCTTACGACGACTCTTACTCGTAAAGTCCCGAATGGATGAGGGTTCTAATAATGGTGGGGCAAATGTTAGTATGATTAATATACATTATGCATTTGTACCTACATTACTACATAAACTATACTTAGTCTATGTATATAGGTATTCTATCCGTTACCCTAGTATCCCATAACACAAGCCTTGCAGTGCTTACTTTGGGGCTAGGCTAAATGGTGTGAGTTGCAAATATTTACATATTTTGTCAATGAGCAAATTCTTCTTTATTGAAGACAGCAAAGTTTTATTTATTTACCCCTTTTTAAAGTTAGATTATTTATTCACAACCAGAAAAAATAGCAGTGGGTTGTTTCATTAATATTTTACTTCATTCCGAGTTCAGCATGGAATAAGGTTTAATATAGTGATTAGTTGCCTCGCCACAGGAAATGTGACATATAACAATTTTCATGAAGTTTTTTTATGCATCCATTTTTAATAATAAGATTAGTAAGATTTTATCCGGATATAATAGTGACGACCTCCGTGGCCGAGTGGTTTGTACGCCGGGTTTCATGGTGTCGCCGATTCGAGAGGTCCCGGGTTCGAATCCCGGTGGGGGCAGATGTTTGTGTGATGAATACGAGCATTTCTGTTTACAAACGACGGCGCCTTTAAGAGGCACACCACCGAACGGACCTCACACCCTGCACCCACAAACGTAACGGGCACGATGACGGTAACCCCCAAAGTAACTTGCGCCATTTACGAACACGCCTAACGGCGTACTATCCGCTAAAAAACCCTGCGAATAGCCGTAAGCTGCTAAGCCGCGGGATCGCCGTTTAGGGATTCTTCCGCGTTTCCGCGGTTCCGCACCCAGCAGCCTCCCGGCCTAGCCGGGGCTCCACGGCAGAGGTCTCCCGGGGTATCCCGGGGACCCCGAAAACGTGCGCAGATGCGCCGTACCGGCCAGCTAGGGATCCCCACGGGCAGGGTCATGGGACGGGCGCAGCCACGGCGCGCACCCATCCTCTCCTGCCCGCTCTTTTTCGGCGGGAGGGAGCAGAGGATCATCTTCCCGCTCTCTCTCGGCCGCCTCCTTCCGCAAAATGACGTTCTCGCAGAACGTCATTTTGCGCAGTGATGACACTGCGGCGTTTCCTCTCGACGGGCGACACGGTACAGGTAGTGACCGAAGCATCCGTGTCCGGTCAGTACCTACACCATGCGGAATGAAAGGCCGCCGCGCCGGCGACCCACCCACTCCTCCAACACGGGACGAAAGGCCTCAATCGTCCGGTGGCCGGCGCTCACTTGGGCGAGAGCCTCGTCCCATCGCCGCAATGCCTCTTTCTGCGCGATGGACCGGACCTGCTGCAACTCTGCTGGGGCAGGTCTTTCGCCCCGCTCCCTGGCTTCGACCCGACCTCGATGCACGTCTTCCAGGACCTACGCATCGAGATCCAGACGCAGGCGCATACGCAGGCGGTGCCGTGGCTGACCGTACGGTACGCTCGCACGGCCCGGGTCGAGATGGTCCCCTGCGGTCGTCGCAGCAGGGCCACCGTGCGGGGTTTGAAGTCAGCCCAAACCGGAGCTCCATAAAGTGTCATCGACCGTATCACTCCGTGGTACAGTCGACGGCAAGCATCTCCTGGTCCTCCCACGTTTGGGAGGACCTTGCCGAGTGCGGCTACGGCGGCGCACAGCCGTGGAGCGAGGAGCTTGAAGTGCTCCTCAAAGCACCACCGGGGAACTAGTACCAGGCCGAGGTACTTCAGGCTTCCCTCGACCGGTATACGGACCCCCTCCACCCGGATATGGAGCCCCGGTTGGGTGCTGCGGCGTGTGCCGTGGAACAGCATGGCCCTCATTTTGTCGAGGGACACATCCAGGCCCAGGAGGCGGATGCGTCGGACGGTTAGCAAAGTGTCGACCGACGCCAGGCGAACCGCCTCCTCCACCGACTTTGCCTTCGCCGCGACCAACTTGTCGTCGACGAAGCAGACAACCTCCATGTTTTACCCCAAGTTCCAGAGCAGTGGACCCAGCACTGCCACCCCTACGGCCATGGCCCGAGAGCACACGCTGCCATCGGGCCCCGCGTAGAGGACTGATGTCAGTCCCTGCAGGTATTCCTTAACGATCGCTCGCAGGTATGGAGGCACGCAGTGAAAATGCAGTGCCTCAATAATACACTCGTGGGGAGACTGTTGAAGGTGTTGCGGATGTCCAATGACACCGCAACAGTAGTCTCTCCCCGCCGAGTGGCCGCCTCGGTCCACCCCTTCAGTAGGGCCACCGACTCCACCGTGGACCGGTTTCGCCGGAACCCGGACTGGTGCTCTGTCAGATTCGGGCCCGGCTCCTCCGGGTGCTCGATGATACGCCCCGTCAGGATTCTTTCGAAGAACTTCGCGGCGTCATCGAGCACTATTCTATCCGTATCCTTACAGTACTTTGGGGCTAGGCTAATTGGTGTGTGTGAGAAATATTTATTAATTTATAATCGGATCCAGCACGCAACGTTGACTAAAGTTCTCTGTGCGTGTTGCTGCGCCTTGTCACAAAATGAGTTTTAATGAAGTGAAACTTCTTTTCGGACGGGGTGTAAATGGAAAAATCCTATAGAAAAGATGAAATGGAAATGCATCACGAGCGTCACACGACTATATATATATGTGTGTGTGTGGGATGTGTGCGCAGTTCTTCCCGATGTGCATCACGAGCGTCAAACGCGATAAAATATATGTTACGCTCAAAGATCGAAAACGCTCAGTGAGCGGAAAAATAGCTCACAACGCGTTGTGGTCACGTTAAAACATCCACATCGCGAAATTCGTGTTATGGCTCTAATGAAAAATCGCACGACGCGTTGTGGCAATCACAGAAAGACCAAATAGCGAAATTCGTGTCGTGGCTGACATGCTATTCGATCTCAACGCGTTGTGGCAATGAAGAAAAGCCATGACGCGTTCTGAGCATTCATTGTTTTAACCATATCACGACGGACAGGTTGTTAGTTGATAGAGGACGTGCAGCACCCAGGAATGTTATGTGTGTTGTTATGATCATTAATTCATCAGGTCTCTACCAGTTAGGAAACAAGGAAGGTACATTCGATAGACTTTATGCACGTAATGAGTTTACACATTCTGAAACCAACTTTATTAACTTTTGTGATGTGCCCTCAACTTCGTCATTAACACTTCGCTCAGCATGTATGTTATCATCTGAAAGTAAGGAAGGGTTTATAATGTGCCACTGCAAAAGATAATGTATTGATAAAAAGTGCAAGTGTCGCTCCAATAATATAAAATGCAACTCAAAATACCATAGTAATAGTTCATGTAAAAATAAATAGCAATCAAATACTTAATTTTCACAATTATAGTAATTTCTAATATAAGTAATTGATTTAAGTACATTGTTGTTGTTTATTGGTGATCAATAAACATTTATGTTTGTGTTAAATATTTTTATTACTTGAAAGAATTTTAAATTGTCATAAAAAAATTAAAATCCTTAATTATTTTAAGTGAATTATAAGTAATTTACAAATTGATTAATATTTTGTGTTCAGTATTTTATTACTTAATACGTTGATTTTTTTAAATATAAAGTAATCTCAATAAATAACAAATATCGTTTTATTTTAATTAATATAATTATATAACATGTTTAATAATGACAAACACGCTATGCAGTGATTTTATAAAATATTTCCTAAAGACATCTACCAAAACGTTTCCAGCCTAGGCCTAGTAGGATCCATATCGGAAAGTTGTGTGCGTCGTAATTAAATAATATTCCATACGCGTTATGGCTTTTCTTCATTGCCACAACGCGTTGAGATCAAATAGCATGTCAGCCACGACACGAATTTCGCTATTTGGTCTTTCTGTGATTGCCACAACGCGTCGTGCGCGTTTTCATTATAGCCATAATACGAATTTCGCGATGTGGATCTTTTACTGTGACCACAACGCATTGTGAGCTATTTTTCCGCTCACTGAGCGTTTTCGATCATTGAGCGTAACATATATACAGTAAAACTCGTTTAAGACGACTAAAAACACCATCGTAGATAAACAGAGAAAAATTCAGCTTCGTTAAACTCTTTTTACTTACAAATTTACAAATATGGTTACTTAAATATCTTTCGGTTCACCTCGCTACTGATATGTGACACTTGTTCCAAGCGCCTCTGGCGGTCTTTCTGTCCATGGTTGCATTGCACACGCACAATTTTAAATAAAAGCTGCCGCTGTCCCTACATACGCATAGTCGTGCACAGACAATCTAATTAGCAACAATGGCAGCTAAAGTGAGTTTCTTACTGCGTTTTTTTTTAATATTCAAGAACTTACGTGTGTAGGAGTACATTTTTACAAACAGAACCGTATCCGATACATAATTTAAATTTTTAAAGAAATCTAATCTATTTGAGAGTTTACTTAAACTTTAAAGAAATCCAACCATACATTACATTTGTGTTACGAGTATTACGAATTTTTCATCAAAATTTTCTTTATTCTTCCCTTAGTTCTTCGTGGTCCTCTCCCTGGCCGTAGCGGCGTCCGCCGTCCCCCTGGTACCGGTGGCCAAAGTAGCATACGCGGAGGTGGAGGCGCCCGCTCACTACGAGTTCCAGTACTCCGTGCACGACCAACACAGCGGCGACATCAAGGAACAGAAGGAGGCGCGCGCCGGCGACGCCGTCCAGGGATCCTACTCGCTGCTGCAGCCCGACGGCGTGCAGCGCATCGTTGAGTACACCGCTGACAAGGAGCACGGCTTCAACGCCATCGTGCGTTACGAGGGACACCCCACACCCGCGCCCGCCAAGCTCGCCTACGCCGCCCCTGTGGCCTACGCCGCCCCCGTCGCCAAGGTCGCCTACTCCAGTCCTGTTGCCTACTCGTCTCCCGTCGCTAAGGTCGCCTACGCTGCCCCCGTTGCGAAGGTCGCCTACTCCGCCCCTGTTGCCTACTCCGCCCCCGTCGCTAAGGTCGCCTACGCCGCCCCCATTGCGAAGGTCGCCTACTCCGCCCCTGTTGCCTACGCCGCTCCTGTCGCCAAAGTAGCCTATGCCGCCCCCGTCGCCAAGGTAGCATACAGTGCTCCTCTCGGACACGTCACCTTCGCATCCCCGGCCGTCTCCTACCACCACTGATTTTAGTCAATGTAACTTATTACTAGGTATTTATTTGTGAACTGTTGATAATAAATTATGATGAAGTGAATTGCCAAAAGTCATGTTTTCATTTGCTTTTCCTACTTTTATGTAAATCAATATAATATTATTTTGCAGAAAATTGACATTCCAAAAAATAGCGATCTTAATTCATTCCGGACGCAATCATTGTCTTAAAATTATTTTGAACTGACGAAAAACGGAGGAGGTTATCAATTATTTATGATCACGCATAAGATTTTACAGAGTAGTCCGATTTTGATAATTATTGTGTTTGATAGTTCATAAACCTTGGGAATCTATTTAACGTGGTTTCGTGTCTATCTATCTATATTTCTTGGAGTTGTCCGCAAAATTGAAATTTTGATCGTATGGAATCATGCCAGGATGCTTCAAATAACGTGCCAATACATCGTCAAATTTATATAACCAGTATTTTGTAATATTCATTGAAGTATAGAAAATAATCTAAAGAACATGTAAGTGGTTAGTTCAAGAAACTTTGAATACCCTGTATGTTTAAGTAAGACAACAAAAATAGGTTTAAGACTTTTGCCTTAAGACACTGCAGTATTTTGAATTAGACGATGTATAGGTACATAATTTAAATGTCGGCCGTCCAGCAAAAATTCTCGTTCTACCTCCTTCTTGGTAATCGTTCTGGACTGTCCGTTCCAAATTAACATCTCGTTAACAACTTTCAGGTTTTTGGAGTGTTTTTGTTTTGTTGTGTTTCATTTCAATTCATTCTTTGTTTTTGTTTTTTGCGTTTTTATTTGCCATTACTGTAACCATACTGCCTTTTGTACATTAGGTATATTAGTTTAGGCAGAGCGGAGCCTCCAAACACAGGCTATTTTTACGTAAACGTAGTTCTCCAATCGATCATTTTGTTATTAAAATTCGCTATTGTAAAAAGAATTGCAAATTGGCAAAAAAAAATGTCACAACACGCAAGCACTTACAAAAACAAATGAAATCCCACTATAACATGTTCATGTAAAATATTGCCAAGACGAGATCATATGATTCGCACTGTCAAAAACTTATTAGATCTCGTGTAAATCAAGCTTTTAACTCTGCACGTCCTAAACCTTCAAGCCCTACAAACTCTACGTCTTAGTCAAAATATTTTATAACAGAAAAGTAGGTAATGAAGAGAGGATAATTTTATCACCTTACGCCCATGTGAATGTAGCGACGTGGCCAAGCCACATATATTAACTGAGGTGTAGCGTTAGAGTTTGTAAAGTTAGGCCTTGTAGAGTTAAAAGCTTGGCTTTACATGAGATCTGATAACTTTTTAATCGACGAAAAATAACGGTGCAGGTCATCAAGTCACGCATAACTTTTGGCGGAGGAGTCTGGTTTTGTTAATTCTATTTTTATTGGAAAGGGTTTACTCCGAAATTGGTGCGCTGCAAACAAAACACTCTTTCTTCCTAATGCCGGCACTTCACTTGGCTATTCGTGTTTGCTTTTTGAAAACTTGACATCAGTCTATCCTTTTTATTCCATATTAAGCATGACAAGGGTAGTTTTCCAATTACAGAGCATAATGCGACACAGTGGCGCACAATGCCGAATTATGCTAATGCTTAATTGAAACGTGAATTAGTTTTCAAATGCAACAGCAGAGTGCGCTAAGATAGGCATTATGCCGCATAATGCGCTGTAGTGCTGTAATTGGAAAACTACCAATGACAGACTGTTGTCAAGTGAAGGGCCGGCATAAAACTCGATACTCTGTGGTTGTGGTGCAGGCAGTTTGCATTTGTAGTAATCTGTGGCATTAGTGAATTCTCGTTTCGGATTTCCTGTTGTGTGTGTTAATTTGCGATTGTTTTTCCTTTAATTTAACTATTTCGGCTATCTCATATGCCATCGATGTTATTGGTAACATCCTTAGCAGACCCCTTATTACCAACTGCTAGAGAACCTGTGCCACAACCTCCTGAGAGGATCATACTGCCAAATTATTCAAGAGCAGCTGATACACATTCACGCTGCATATTTATACAATATACATGTGATATACAAATAAAATACAATATGATACAATTATGTGAAAAATAGTCAAAAAATAAGAAGCAAAACTACAGTTTTTATTTTAAACATGATTCCTACCTTACCAAGTTTCCTAATAGTTATTCTTTAAAATCGCATCGAATAAAAATGAATTACTTGTAATGTTAATTCAATTCATACTAAGTTCATATGTTGACCTATGTTTCATTTAATATTAAACATAACCTCAAAAAATATTAAATTTTCCTGATAATTTAAGTTTTCAGAAGTGTCCGTCAATAATCTTTGTTTTATAGTCATTTACTTGCAATTTCGAACCTAGAAAATAATATTTCATGATTGTTGGTTCTTAGGCTAACAATGTATGGACGCAGAACAATGTCCTTTGGGTCCTTTAGAATCTAGGCAGGATGCTTCAAATAACATGTCAATACTGAACTATTTGTGAATTGCAGTAGGTAATAAAAATAGGTTCGTCTTATACAACGGTTTTTTCAAGAAAGGAGGACGATACCATACAAAATTATAACAAAAACAATTGTGGATACCTTCAATATAAAATATTAGCATTGTTGATAAAACAGATTCTTATTATTCAGTATTAAGGTTGAAAGTAATTTATAATACCTATAAGACATACATTACACCCTACCACTTATTCAATGATAAACAAACCAAAAAATAATAATAATGAAGTACAAAAGAAAATATAATTACAACTATATTGTATAAAACCTAAAAAAAATTGCAGTCTGCGATCTCCTTTGTATCTGATCTATTAGTGCAGTCATTGAAGCGAAAAATACGGCCTTACCTCCGAATTTTTTTACTGTGAACCGATTTGCATGAAATTTTGGAATTAGGCTCATCTTACCCTTAAATTCAAAAGTGAAAATGATCTGAACTCCGCCTATTATTTTTAAGGGGTGTAAACAACCCCTTAATGGAAAAATTGACATTGAGCCATTTTATCGCTAGAAAACATGTCTAATAGTAAGTGATGCAATTGTAAATTATTTTCTAACATAATTACCTCATATTAAAATTATTTTCAACCCATATATATATATTACATATTTAAAAATAATTTAATTTAGAGTCAAAAATTGCTATTTATTGAATAAAATATTTACTAATTATATAAAATTGTACTATTACTATTAAAATATAATATTATTATTCATGACTCAATGTCGGAGTCGCTGTCACATTCAACATCTTCTGGCTGAATTGGAGGGCTATTTTGGCAGTTATCTCCACTGCACGTTCCACAGGTACTATTACAAAACAGACCAACTTTTCTACATCCGCAAGACGCTCCACATCCTTTTTTGCAGTTGCAGTTCTTGTGGTGCGGGTGGATCTACAGACTTAAGTGGATTTAATAAACCGAAATGATGAAATGATGAAATGTGTTATATATACATATAAGAACGTTGGTATATATTCATGCCTACGTTTCCAAAATATATGACCCATATTATGTATATATATACACATTACAATAGTTGTGGGTCTCTATTATACTGCGTACTTTCACATTGCTCTAAATATTCACACTCCGAAATTTTCAGTTACTAAGTAGAAAAAAATATGATAAGTTTTTGGACCATAACTCCTTCAATTTTCATGCTATCACAATTTATGTAAAACCATTGTAAAGGTAATTAAGAGAGCTACAACATCCTTCATTGCAATATATATTAAAAAACCTTTTTCTAGAACGGTGAAGGGTTAAAGGGCTTAAAAGAGGCTGTGATTGCGCTGCCACGGGCTCTTTAAACAATCATATCTCCGTCAATTTTATTTTGACAGAAAAAACAAAAAAAAACAATTTGTTTGTCAGAAAAATACCTAAATTTTTAAATCGTACACTTTTATACCTATATGTCGTCATTTTTGAGATATTATGAAAAAGAAGTGGGTTTTTTAAAAAATTGAAATTTTGGTTTTTCTTTTAATCGTGACTTTTTTGAAAAATATGGGTCCTGAAGCAGCCAAACTGATACTATCTATCAAACTCTTCATAATAAAGTTAATTCTAGGTGGAATACGATTAATTTTAATTTTGGTGGAAATGGCACTTATGAAACCCATTGATTTAAAAGAAAAAACATTAGATGCTCCCCTTATTTGCAATACAGCTCACTTATTTTACGTGCAAAAGACTTTTAATAGTGCTCATTTTAAAGCTTATTTCAAGCACTACAAAACCTTTTTGTATTAGAATGCATAAAATGCATCTGCTCGCCGCTAGATGGCATTGACCACATCGATTAAATTTCAGACAAAATAAAAAACGGCTTTGATCTTTAATATCTAGCTTAGAATACTTTATAAAAAACTAAATTGTTCATTGTTTTACCTGCTACAATTTTGTTCTTTATAAAATTTTCGATAAAACTTAAATTTTTGGAGATATTTGCAAAAAACCGATGAAAAACGGGAAAAACTTTCGAATTTTCAATTGCCAATGTCTTGAAAAGTATTCAAGTTTTGGAAAAACTTTATAGATGATTTTTTGCTTAAAATTAGTCTTTCTATCGATATCCGAGGTTATTTTGAAAAAAAAAATTCACCACCGAAAAGGGGTGGCAACCACCTCCAGGGTGGTTGCGGAGTTCAAATCATTTTCACTTTTGAAGTTAAGGGTAAGATGAACCTAATTCCAGAATTGTATGCAATTCGGTTCACAGTAAAAAAATTCGGACCAATAATGCTTCAATGACTGCACTATATGTGCCTCTTAGTAAGTTGACCGTTTTCCCGAGCTACACTTAAATTACGGGAACCTATTTCTTTTTCTATTTTACCCTTAGACCATTTATCATCCCCCGTGCCAAAATCTCTAACCCATACCTCCTCTCCTACTTCAAAACTACGCGAGACCCCGCCGGCATTTTTTATCTGATTTTCCTGCGCTTTTTGTGCGTTGGTTACAGCATTAGTAT